TTAAACTGATATCTTAAGATATTTAACTATTTTTTAGCTGTTCTTAGACTAATTGACTTTTTTATTCCTCAGTATACTCAGGTAAAATAGCAGAATCAATATACTGCTTAAATTAGAATAGATTAATACTATTTAATTCTGATTTTTCTTTTATTCATTGTTTATATTTTAGTACTATATTCTTATTATCAACTAATCGTTTGTACTTTTGATATCATCCACAATAGGAGAGCAGAAATAATTCATAGTGCAAATAAAATTTACTAAGAAAGCAGATTCTTCTAAATTTGTATGAGCCTGAGTTGATATAGACTATACCTGCCACAATTTCCCTTGCTTTTAACTTTTTATGACTATTATATAGCCTTATAAAATATTCATAGACAGCTCATCTTTCATTATATTCAAAAGCAGTGAATGCTTTTTTATTTTTTAAGATATCTTCCTGAAGTTAAGCAATTATGTCACCAAGTTCATAACTTGTCTCATTACTATTATCATCACCTTCGTCATCATTACTATTCATATTTTTGTTTTTATTGTCATTTAATTTTACTAAAATTGGATATACTGAGGATGCTGACTATAAAGCTGAATATATTAGTACTGATGTTGAAGGTTCAAAAAAACTGATAATCTTGTGAGTTTTTTTAGTAGCACTATTAAATATACTAAAGGCACCAAACTTGCGATAGTAGGTTGATTTTGGCATACCCTTTACTGTTCTTATTTCTAGTTTTTTTTTTATAAAAGGAGTATGATAAGTAAATGTCTTCATTTCATTTCATCTTCACCCATATCTTCATCTTCCTCTTGATCACTATCTTCTTCAAAACTTTGTTTAACATCCTCTTCTTCTAACTTATTCACTTTCTTCTATCTTTTTTGAGCTGCTTTTTTTCATTAATTGTTATATTCATGAAGCTTAGCATGTCTTTTTCTTTTGACCATATTTAAACTTTGTTGAAGTGAGATTTTTTTTTTTTTTTTTTAAAAAAAAAAGAGGAGTATTCAAAGCCTGGTGATACCCAATTTTGACTTCAAATGCAGTGACTACACTAGTAACTAGTAATAACTAATTACTAATTATTCAGGTAAGGTACTAATTCATCTTGTTGCTTCTTTTTGTCTTGCTAATTCGTCTCACTTATTCATCTCACTTATTCATCTTGTAGTGCTACTTTTTCTGGTTCAGTTTAATTATAGCATAGCTTTATCTTATATGTTTAGCTTTACATTGATGTATAATTATCAATAATGCTATAATGTAGACTATTAAAATAAAAGTTAATCAAAAACATGATCAGTTATTAGCCAATTAATTGTAAAATGAACTTTGATTAGGTAATTATAGATTACGTTATCTGTTCTATTTTTGATCAAGCATATGAAAATACAACCTTTTTAACCTGATATATCTTGATTACAGATAATTGTAAATTTAAGAAAAAGCTGCCATTTTGTAATAAACTGATTTGGCTACAAAATAGTAGCTTTTTTTTTGGTATTATATATGTATAATTTTTGATTACATTTTAAAAATAGTGATGCCTTTAGGTATTTTGCACTATATAAATACTTGAAACACTAGAATCAACTACCTCAATATAAGACTATATCATATCTCTTAAACAATATCAAAAAATGATATACCATATACAAAAACTTGAGAACAACCTTGTACACAAAAATAATATTGACAAACATATAACTAACTGCTACAACAACTTCATGACTAATACTATATCAATGATCAGTAGTATTCTACAAAGACATACTGATCTAGTAATTTTATATAATATAATATACTCTAATCATATCATTACAAAACTCTCAGAAATTAAAAAAGAAATTAAACAATACTTTAAATCTAGACTAAGCCTAATTCTACAACAATGATTATTGAGATGACTAGCAAAGCGAATACCTATTACAATCTAATATTAATTCACAATAGTACAAAGAATTACTACATTTAATCTCAATACAAGAACTGTAAGAAACTATATAAGAGTCTCTACTAGGCAAGGCAACTGGCCTACAACTTATATTGAATGAAATATTCAAATATCTCAACAAATATATAACAGAGAAATTACTAGATATCTTTAATATATGCATAATATTAGAAAAGATCTCAAAAATATAGAAACAAAGCACTATATATCTGATATCTAAAAAACAAAAATTTTTTAGCTAACTAAATGAAACCAGACCTATCTCTCTTATAGAACATTCAAGAAAAATCTTTACTAAACTTCTTATAAAAAGACTAAATTCTATTCTAAACAAATATCCTATTTTCCATCTATACAATTATGTAGTCCTCTCTAATACCTCAACTACACTACCTATAACTGCAATAATAAATATTATCGAAGATATTTAAGTTCTAAACAAAGAACTTTGATTACTTAGCCAAGACATGTTTAAAGCATATGACTCTGTTCACATCCCCTTACTCAAAAAAGCACTTAACTGTCTCACAATTTCTAATTCTATTACTAATCTAATAACTAATATCTTTTCTAACTAATTAAATACAATTATTATATATATAAGTCTAACAGAATCCTACATAGTATATAATGAAATAGACCAAAGATAAATGATTATTCCACTCCTGTGGTAAATATATTATGACTCTCTGTTATCAACAATCTATAAAACTACTATAGGATATATTATGCAAACAATATTCATATACTAAAATACTCTGAAAAAGGTTTAAACAAATATTCCTGCACTTGTATATATGGATGATAACCTGTGAATTGCTTAAACTCAAGAAGAATTACAAAATATTCTTAAAACTGCAACATTCTTCTTCTACCTTACTAATATCAAAGTCAACTCAAGCAAATCTATACTTTTAGTTACCAACTTATGTAATACTAACCCTAGCATCTTATTTAATAATACTCTAATATAAGTAGTTTAACCTAAAGAAGCCTTTTATATTCTAGATTGTTGGTATACAATATACAAAAACTATAAACCTATTCATACCAAAATTAAAAAAGAAATAATACAAGTAATCAAAAGAATTACATAAGCATGAATTACTAATAAGCAAGCTATCTATATTACTAATACAGTAATACTAACTCGTATTGCATATAGAATTCAAAATATATATCTTCTATTAGCTACTTGCAAGAAACTTACAAAGTAATATACTAAGACAATTAAGTATAAAGCTGATTTTGCAAGAACAAGTACTAATTCTATATTCTTTTACCACCAAATTTATAGACTATATACTATAGAAAATATCTAAACTCAACAATATATTTTAACTCTACACTGTTTATTGAACTATTCAAACTTTTAAAACTCTTCACTATGAATTTACCTGCAACAAATCCAAAATATAGCAGCTACTAATATATTAATACTTACTCAACACAACTATATCTTCCCAAAAAAACAAGCTAATATACCACTAGCTCTTATACTACTACACCTTCAATATCTACAAATATCATTTACTAATAACAACAACAACTAGCTAAAACCTCTAGAACAATAAGACATAACAATTAATAACATTCTTTACTTATTAAAGAAACTATATCAGATTAAGACTAAACTAAACAGAATAAGCTTATACTTTATCAAACAACTTACAAACTACAATAATATAACTATACTATCCTGGTCTTCAACTTCTACATAACTTACAAATAATCTTAAAAGGAAAAAATCAAATTGGTATGAGATAATTACTAACAAAATAAAAACAATACTCTTCTCAAATAATAACTACCTTATTACACTAAACTCATATATATACAACAACCAACCTATTAACAAAGCAATATAGGCTATAAAGAAAAAACAAGATACATTCTTTATAAAAAAAATATTTTCAATAACAAATCAAATAGCAACTATCAACTACTAGTCTCTCGATATCACTATAAATAAACTATTATCATACCAAAGATGCTACTAAAATAATTCAAAGCTTAATAAAGT